GTGCTGCTCGTCCAGCTGTCACGCGCTTTCTGGCCACTGCTGTCACTGACCCTTTGTTTGAGTCCACTGCTGCGTCAGCTCTTGTTGCTGAGCTTGTTGACTTTGCTGCAGCCTGTCGCCTAGACTACGCCACTAGTCTTGTTGCTGAGTCTGCGTCTGCGTCTGTCTGTCCTCCGTTTGTCGGGGGTGAGTGTGCTCTTGGCACGGATGTTCTTGAGGACAGACAGGAGGAGTTTGAGTGCTTTGCCGCTACTGTACCTCATCTCGTGTCCATGGTGCTTGCCCTGAGGGAGACCCGGATGCACCAGACATCCCGACCCCGCGCTCTTACGCAGAGGCGATAGAGGGTCCCTACTCCTCTCAGTGGCAGGCAGCCATGGACGCCAAGATGGCTTCCTGGAAGTCAACAGGCACCTACGTCGACGAGGCTCCCCCGCCTGGGGCGAAAATCGTCAGTGGCATGTGGATCTTTAGAGTGAAGCGGCCGCCAGGTTCTCCGCCTGCCTTCAAGGCGCGTTACGTTGCACGTGGCTTCAGTCAGCGACAGGGAGTTGACTTCTTCCAGACCTTCTCCCCTACCCCGAAGATGACCACTCTTCGGGTACTGCTGCACGTCGCCGCTCAGCGTGACTACGAGCTCCACTCACTTGACTTCAGCACAGCCTTCCTACAGGGCAGCCTGCACGAGGAGATCTGGCTGCGCCGCCCACCTGGCTTCACTGGGTCGTTTCCTGCAGGTACCCAGTGGAGCCTCCGGCGGCTAGTCTACGGTCTCCGCCAGGCACCCCGTGAGTGGCACGACACACTCAGGACGACTCTTGCTGCTCTTGGTTTTCCTCCTTCCACTGCTGACCCTTCTCTGTTTTTACGCACTGACACCACTCTGCCGCCGTTCTACGTTCTCGTGTACGTAGACGACCTCGTCTTTGCTACTGCTGACACTGAGGCACTCGCCCACGTGAAGTCCGAGCTGCAGAAGAGACACACGTGCACAGACCTGGGTGAACTGACAAGCTATCTTGGCTTGCGGATCACTCGGGACAGAGCACGGCGCACCATTACCTTGACTCAGTCACACATGGTGCAGCAGGTCCTTCAGCGCTTCGGCTTCACGTACTCCTCGCCACAGTCCACTCCTCTGCCTACCGGTCACTCGCTCTCAGCTCCACCTTCGGACGAGTCCGTAGAGCCGACTGGCCCGTATCCAGAGCTTGTGGGCTGCCTCATGTACTTGATGACTTGCACACGACCTGACCTCGCATACCCTCTCAGCCTTCTGGCTCGCTACGTGGCTCCCGGCAGGCACCGAAAGGTGCACTGGGATGCTGCGAAGAGGGTGTTGCGCTACTTGTGCAGTACATCGGGCATGGGGCTCGTGCTTGGAGGACGGGCTCGAGTTGTCCTCACTGGTCACGCTGACGCCTCCTGGGTTGACGACTTGGCTACGTAGCCGTCGTCACAGGGTTACACCTTCAGTCTTGGCTCCGGTTCTGTCTCTTGGCGGTCTACCCGCTCTTCTTCTGTTCTCAGCTCCAGTTGTGAGGCTGAGATCTACGCTGGGGCCATGGCTGCACAGGAGCTACGTTGGCTCACCTACCTGCTGACCGACTTGGGAGAGGCGCCTCGTTCTCCTCCAGTTCTGTACGTCGACAACAAGGCCATGCTGGCCTTGTGTCAGGAGCACAGACTGGAGCACAGAACGAAGCACATTGCTCTGCGCTACTTCCTTGCTCGAGAGTTGCAGCAACGTGGCCAGCTTCGTCTTGCTTACGTCGCCTCTCAGGCCAACACTTCTGATGTTCTCACCAAGGCACTTCAGCCTTGTGATCATCAGCGCTTCGGTACTGTGTTAGGTCTTGTACCTACTGTGCCTCACTTGCTTACTTCTTGACTCTACTTGTACTGTACTCTTTATACATATACCTGCATGTGAACTGACCTTGTGGCCATTTGTTTGTGCTCAGACTGCGTGGTGACTTTGTTGATCCACACTGAGCTTGCTTTGCCTTTCTTGACTGGTCTTGTGACCTCTTGTTCTCCCCCACTTTGCCTATGGGGGTGTGTCAAACTTATATGCTATAGTATGTTTAGGCTGTAGTGGGGTAGTTCTTATAGGGTATAACACTTCTAGGTTTGCTACTTGTACCCATCTGCTTTCTAGTCCATTCATTCCGTTCCTGATTCTAACAATATATTCACCAAGGCACTTCCGCCTGGTGATCGTCAGCGCTTCTCTACTGTGTTAGGCCTTGTGCCTACTTTGCCTCACTTGCTCACTGCGTGACTTTGCTTGTACTGTGATCTTTATATATACCTGCATGCTTACACTTGCTAGGGTATGATCACTGTATTGTTTGTTCTTTTTTATATAACTCTGCATATGAGCTGGCCTTGTGGCCCTTTGCTTGTGCTCGTACTGTGTGGTGACTTTGTGATCCACCCTGAGCTTGCTTTGCTTTTCTTGACTGGTCTTGTGACCACTTGTTCTCCCCCACTTTGCCTATGGGGGTGCGTTAGAATGTTATAGTGCTTACATTTGTATAGGCTATAGTGGGGTATAGCCCATAACGGGTACAACCCAATTAGGGTTATTAATTGTATCCAGCTCTTTCATACTTCATTGATTCTTGTTCATTAGTTTGACAAGCACCACATTTGTGTTGGCTATAGTGGGGTAGCCCATAACGGGTACAACCCAATTAGGGTTATTAATTGTATCCAACTATTTCATACTTGATTCATTCTTGTTAGTTAGTTTGACAAGCACCACAATCGTCCAGATGAGCTGAACCGTTTAAACTTTTATTCTAACCCGAGTGCACCGCGCAAAAAAAGAGAGACCGAGGCTGGTTGGGAAACCAAGCTTAGTCGTAATGAGCGAGACCGCGCAAACCCTACCATAAACCGAATTGCACCACACGCAATTTCATTCAACCTGCTACACGAAGCGCCACCTCTACAGAACCTACTCAACAGTTCTGATATTCAGTCTCCTAAAGCAATGTTTGTGGCGGGAATGTGCCGCTCATTTCCACACCACCTAATTACCGCGGCTTTCCCGCCGTGAATCACGCCCCTGTGTACCACTCTTTCCTAGCCTGTCGGATAGTTCGAACTGAAACTCAACACAGTGCTGCTGGCAGTGCCAGCAATCCGCGCCTGTAACTTCGTTACAATTCGCCATCCGTTTCGGCATCTTCCCGCGAAATGTCGCGTCCCGCGAATTACAAGGGCTCGGGTCAGCTTCACGAAAGAAAGCATTCGCCAGTGGCTTCGTCATCCCCTTCCCCGTTTGTCCCAAATAGCAGCGGTAGCAACACTCGCAACTTACCTTCCTCCAATCTTAGTAACCCGCGCAGCGTCTTACAGACTCACCATGCCTATTACTCCTCGTCGCCACCCGATCACGACGACTCTGACGACGCTCGCGAAACGTCGGGTGCGAGAGCGTTCGGTTTCGCCTCGGGCGCCGTTCTGTCGTCGCGCGCGCGCGCGACAGTCGCAGCAGTCGCAGGGCATCTGCAGCGCGTCCGGGCGACCGTCGCCGTGCGATTATCGCGGCTTTCGCGCGACCAGGCAGGTGCACTTGTAGCAAAGCTCAGACCCCTTTAGATCTCCCTCCATTCTACTTCTTACTTGGAATTTTCTGCTTCCTACTACCTAGATTTCACTCCCTGAACCCTACAACATGTATTACTCTATATTTCCCTATGTTCCACTCTCGGCATTTTACTCGTGGATTATATCTCAAACATTCGTTGGCAGGTCTAACCTCACTTTCCCCAATCCCCCTTTCCATCCCATGCATCCCCGTTACAGGTGGACGCGATAACCGTGCTGACAGCGGGCCTTGTAGCACTGGCGCTATGGGCGGCGCTGTGGTTGCAAGACGAAGTGCAGTTGCTAGCAGCACCCCAGGGCACATGCCCCTCTCTCCCAGACTTTCCCCCAGAGGAAGCAGATGTTTTAGGGAGGGTGCCGCAGTATGGGAAGTTTGACCTAAGCGCGCCAATGGTGGGGAAATATCTAAAGCTTATACATAAGTACTTGGAGCCGTGGCAACCTATACCGGTGAGGCTTATAAGGAGTATGGTGGGGAAATATCTAAAGTTTTAGCTAAGTGTGCAGATGGAGGGGAAATGCTCAGGTTGTTAGTACATAGTACCTGGAGGAGCTGTGGCAGCCTATACCAACTCTCCCATCCCATCCCATCCCATCCCATCCCATCCCATCCTATCCCATCCCATCCCATCCCATCCCAACCCATCCCATTCCGGTCCGGGAAAATGTTATGCCAATCCATTCCAACATTCATCCCCATCCCATGTCATCCCAACCCAGGGGATTAAATATGGTTTGGGCCATACTGGCTTCGTCACTCCGAGGCTCTCTACTGCTTGGCTTCCAGGGAAATGATATCCCAATCCATTCACCCATCCCATCCCATCCCATCCCATGTCATCCCAACCCAGGGGATTGAGTCTGGTTTGGGCCATACCGGCTTCGTCACTCCCGAGGCTCTCTACCGCTTGGCTCGGCAGCCGTCTATCATGTCATGTTCCGGCCATGTCAAGGTGCATTAGCGTTTGGCTTGAATTACCTTTGACTTGAGGCTTGATTTAAGCATGCTTGGCACGGCAGCCGTCTGTCATGTCGTGTTCTGGCCACGTCAAGGTGCGCTGCATGTTCGTGCTTGAATCACTTTTGAGTATTCTTAACATTGATTCAATAACTCTTGGCTCGGCAGCCGCCTATCACCATGATAGTATCATGTCATGTTCCGGCCATATCAATGTGCGTTACATTTTCGTGGCTCCACTTGTGTGTGGCCCTCTTGTTCTCATGTGTCACAAAGAAATAGCAAGGTGCCAATCAGCAGTGCGCTCATCTTTGCTCATGTTTGTCCTCTCACACAGGTGATCAACGGGAAGGTGTTCTTCCGGTACGGTGGCTTCTGGCACGTCTACTACCGCCTTAACCGCTTTCTACAAACAGTCAAGATGATTCAGGTGAGGTTAGTAAAAGTGTGATTGAGAAAGATGCAAGGTGAGGTGAGTCAGGGGCTGGCATGTGAAACGAATGAAAGGCTTCTGGCACGTATACTACCGCCTCAACTAACCACTTCTTGCAAACAGTCAAGATGATTCAAGTGACATGTGATAGTGGTGTCAGGCACGCACAATAATGTAAGCAGGTCAGGAGGTGACAACTAGAACAACTGAAAGGCTTCTGGCACGTCTACTACCGCGTCAACCGCTTTCTGCAGACTGTCAAGATGATTCAGGTGAGCTGAATAGAGACGATTTTTTTAGTTGGATTCAGGTCAAGAGGTGACAGCTGAATTGATTGAACTACCGCCTCAACCTCTTCTTGCTGCAGACAGTGAAGAAGATTCAGTTGAGTCAAGTGAATCAAGTTGATTCAAGTGAGTTGAGTTTTGACAATTTAATTTGAGCCAAGAGGCAACATTGAAAGGCCGCTGGCAACTCGTGCGACCGCCCGCAGCCCTTCTCCTCCCTGCCTTCTTTGCTTTCCTCGTTTCTCCTTCATTTCTTCTCATTTCTTGCAGGACGCTATAGATGTGTACGCCTTAACAGACCTCCGATTAGAGTTGATAGTCAACACGTGCGACCACCCGCAGTCCTTCTACAGCAGCCACTGGGCCGACCGCGTTACCCTCCTTTCACCCTTCCTTTCTTTTTCTCTCCCATTCTCCTGCATTCCTCCTTGTCATGTGCAGGACGCTATAGACGTGTACGCCTTAACAGACCTCCGATTAGAGTTGATAGTCAACACGTGCGACCACCCGCAGTCCTTCTACAGCAGCCACTGGGCTGACCGTGCTGGTTACCCTGTGATGAGCATGGGCTTTACTGTTGACACCATGGACATACCCATCCCCGACCCGCTCGATTTGACAGAGGACTATACTCCGGACCTCAGCACCCAGGTGGGTGGTGGGTAATGTGAAGGGGCAATCAGTTGTCGTATACAAGGCAGTTGCATTTACCCTGTGATGAGCATGGGCTGTATGGTTGATACCATGGACATACCCATCCCCGACCCGCTTGCTCTAACAGAGGACTGCACGCCTGATCTCAGCACTCAGGTGTGTCAATGAGATGAGAGGCACTCAGGTGTGGTATATAAGCCATTCGCCACCCCCCTCCCCCCCCCACCCCCTCACCTCATGCTGGTTAGTTACCCGGTGATGAGCATGGGCTGCGCGGTCGATACAATGGACATACCCATTTCCGACCCGCTCCATCTGACTGAAGACTGCACACCGGATCTCAGCACTTAGGTAATTTTGAGACGTCTCAAAATCAGCACTTAGGTAAGAGCTGAGCTGATTGTTGAGGTACCAAGGTGTGCCATCAGTCATCGACCAACCCCGCCCGCCCCCACATGCTGGTAACCATGTGCTTGTTGTCACCTCTGAAGCATGGGCTTCGCCGTTGACACCATGGACATACCCATCCCTGAGCCTCTGGATTTGACTGAAGACTACACACAGGATCTGAGCACTCAGGTATCAGTCGAGACACCAAGTCTACCCTACCGAGTGTATTGATGTCAACCCAAATGTTTTGTTGACCTCCTGATTCTCGTAAAGCACTGAATCCCCAGGTGCCGTGGGAACGCAAGGAGGCACGAGCAGTGCGTAGGGGGAAAACGACCAACTTTGACATGCTGATGGCAACCGGGGCGCCAACCCCCTTGCTTCTCTGCACCTCTCTTGTACACCACACCAGGTTCCTTGGGAGAGGAAGGAGGCCCGGGCAGTGTCCCGAGGGAAAACGACCAACTTTGACATGCTGGACGGCAACTGGGGCGCCAACCCGCGCGTGCGGCTACTGAGCCAGCTTCCACCCTCAAACCCGCATCTCTGCACCAATGTTGTACACCAGGTCCCTTGGGAAAGGAAAGAAGCACGAGCAGTGTTCCGTGGAAAGACCACCAACTTTGACATGCTGGACGGCAACTGGGGCGCCAACCCGCGTGTGCGGCTGCACCGGCTGTCAGACGTGCACTCTGCTCTGATGGAGGCGCACATCAACGCGTGGAGCCATGCCAAGCCAGCGGTTATTAAAGCGATGGCGGAAGACGGGCTGCTTCTGGCCAAGCGGATGAATTTCACCCAGTTTAACGCGTTCAAGTACCAGGTACAGAGCGAAGGGAGGAGAGAGAGAGAGCGGGTTAGAGAGAATGGGAGAGAGAGGGGGGGAGACGTGCACCTGGTATGCACACACGGGCTGTCAGACGTGCACTCTGCGCTGATGGAGGCTCACATCAACACGTGGAGCCATGCCAAGCCCGCAGTCATCAAGGCAATGGCAGAGGATGGTTTGCTGCTGGCGAAGCGCGTGAACTTCACCCAGTTCAATGCGTTCAAGTACCAGGTGGGTAGTGGTGGGAGAGCGCCCTTGAGGGTGAAAGGTACCTAAAGAATCTAAGGACTCTCTGACGACTGCCAGCGGTGATCAAGGCAATGGCAGCCGATGGGCTGCTGCTGGCCAAGCGCATGAATTTTACACAATTCAATGCGTTCATGTACCAGGTAGGGAGCTAAGGGGGGAAGGGGGGAGGGAAGAGAGAGTCTCGCAACGCTCTCATTCCTACATGTTCCTCCTCTCCTCCTCCTCTCCTCCTCCTCTCCTCCTCCTCTCCTCCTCCTCTCCTCCTCCTCTCCTCCTCCTCTCCTCCTCCTCTCCTCCTCCTCTCCTCCTCCTCTCCTCCTCCTCTCCTCCTCCTCTCCTCCTCCTCTCCTCCTCCTCTCCTCCTCCTCTCCTCCTCCTCTCCTCCTCCTCTCCTCCTCCTCTCCTCCTCCTCTCCTCCTCCTCTCCTCCTCCTCTCCTCCTCCTCTCCTCCTCCTCTCCTCCTCCTCTCCTCCTCCTCTCCTCCTCCTCTCCTCCTCCTCTCCTCCTCCTCTCCTCCTCCTCTCCTCCTCCTCTCCTCCTCCTCTCCTCCTCCTCTCCTCCTCCTCTCCTCCTCCTCTCCTCCTCCTCTCCTCCTCCTCTCCTCCTCCTCTCCTCCTCCTCTCCTCCTCCTCTCCTCCTCCTCTCCTCCTCCTCTCCTCCTCCTCTCCTCCTCCTCTCCTCCTCCTCTCCTCCTCCTCTCCTCCTCCTCTCCTCCTCCTCTCCTCCTCCTCTCCTCCTCCTCTCCTCCTCCTCTCCTCCTCCTCTCCTCCTCCTCTCCTCCTCCTCTCCTCCTCCTCTCCTCCTCCTCTCCTCCTCCTCTCCTCCTCCTCTCCTCCTCCTCTCCTCCTCCTCTCCTCCTCCTCTCCTCCTCCTCTCCTCCTCCTCTCCTCCTCCTCTCCTCCTCCTCTCCTCCTCCTCTCCTCCTCCTCTCCTCCTCCTCTCCTCCTCCTCTCCTCCTCCTCTCCTCCTCCTCTCCTCCTCCTCTCCTCCTCCTCTCCTCCTCCTCTCCTCCTCCTCTCCTCCTCCTCTCCTCCTCCTCTCCTCCTCCTCTCCTCCTCCTCTCCTCCTCCTCTCCTCCTCCTCTCCTCCTCCTCTCCTCCTCCTCTCCTCCTCCTCTCCTCCTCCTCTCCTCCTCCTCTCCTCCTCCTCTCCTCCTCCTCTCCTCCTCCTCTCCTCCTCCTCTCCTCCTCCTCTCCTCCTCCTCTCCTCCTCCTCTCCTCCTCCTCTCCTCCTCCTCTCCTCCTCCTCTCCTCCTCCTCTCCTCCTCCTCTCCTCCTCCTCTCCTCCTCCTCTCCTCCTCCTCTCCTCCTCCTCTCCTCCTCCTCTCCTCCTCCTCTCCTCCTCCTCTCCTCCTCCTCTCCTCCTCCTCTCCTCCTCCTCTCCTCCTCCTCTCCTCCTCCTCTCCTCCTCCTCTCCTCCTCCTCTCCTCCTCCTCTCCTCCTCCTCTCCTCCTCCTCTCCTCCTCCTCTCCTCCTCCTCTCCTCCTCCTCTCCTCCTCCTCTCCTCCTCCTCTCCTCCTCCTCTCCTCCTGCTGCTGCTGCTACTGCATCTTATGGGCTCTTTTACCTGCTTGTGTTTTTTGAGAATTCTCAAAAAACACACGCTGGCGAAGCGCATGAACTTCACTTCCCTCTTTCACTTCCAGACATAGCTCAGTGAGCTGCGTGAATGGGGAACTTCACTTCCCCCAGCCATAGTGGACGGTGGGGGTGGCGGCTGCAGGGCATGCACAGCAATGAGATCGAGTCAACTAAACATACCACAGGAAACGTCCTTCTCTTCCCCCCCATGGTCGCACTTTTGCCTTTCCATCAGGTCATAGTGGATGGTGGGGGTGCAGCTGCAGGACATGTGGGGTCCTGCGATCAAATCAACTGAGCATTCGGCAGGAGACGCCCCTCTTCAAGTTCTATAACCCTTCCTCCTCCCATGTCCTCTTGCATTCCCTGCTTCCATCAGGTGATCGTTGATGGGGGAGGCGGCAGCTGCAGGACGTGCGGAGTGCTGCGATCCAATCAGCTGAGCATCCGGCAGGAGACTCCCTTGTTTCAGTTCTATGAGCCGCTGCTAGAAGATGGGGTGCACTGGATGGTTACCACCCGCACGTGAGTAACATAACAGCTGTGCCTGCTGGTAACCCTATGACCACTTGCACGTGAGGAACAATGCCTATTGGTAACCCTATATTAGCCATACAGACGCCTCCCTTTCAGTTCTACGAGCCTCTGGCCCTCTGCTTGAGGATGGGGTGCACTGGCTGGTTACCACTCGCACATGAGTAACAGCTGTGCCTTCTAGGAAGTAACTGTATCAATCAACCATACAGACGCCTCTCTTTCAGTTCTACGAGCCTCTGCTTGAGGATGGGTTGCACTGGCTGGTTACCACTCGCACGTGAGTAACAACTGTACCATCTGGTAACCCTATTACCACACACGCGCCTCTCTTCCAGTTCTTCGAGCCGCTGCTGGAGGATGGGGTGCACTGGCTGGGTACCACGTGCACGTGAGTAACAACTATGCGTGCTGGTAACTCCGTACAGCCATAGAGACGCCCTCCCATTTGCAGCGAACCATATGGCGCAGTATGCTTGCACATGGAGTGGCAGGCAACAACCCCTCTCCACCACTCTCAACCCCTCTTTAATCCCTTCTTAAATGCAGCGAACCACATGGCGCAGTATGCTTGCACGTGGAGTGGCAGGCAGGCAGGAAGGCTTCTATACTGAGCGCTGTTGGCAGGCCGAGGGGCCATGCGATACAGGGGGCCGATGTGAGACGGCTCAAGAACCCTCTCCACCCCTCTCAATCCCCCTGCAACCCTCAAATTCTCCGATCTCCCTGCCAAGATCCGGTGGGCCCAGGAGAATGACGATGCAGCACAGAGGCTGGTGTATGCAGCGAACAACATGGCACAGTACGCTTGCAACCCCTCATACAACCCCCTCTACCGCTGTCAACTCCTCCTCAACCCCCGTTATTTACAGATTCTCCGATCTTCCCGCTAAAATTCGGTGGGTCCAAGAGAACGACGATGCAGCACAGAGGCTCGAGCATGCAGCGAACCACATGGCACAGTATGCCTGCACGTGGAGTGGCAGGCAGGCAGGCAGCCAGGCAGGCAGGCAGGTGGCTGTACTGCGGGTGTGAGACAGCTCAACCACCCCTCTCTATTCCACCACAACCCTCAGATTCTCCGATCTTCCCGCTAAGATCCGGTGGGCCCAAGAGAACGACGACGCAGCACAGCGGCTGGTGCATGCAGCGAACCACATGGCACAGTATGCCTGCACGTGGATCGGCAGGCAGGCAGGCAGGCAGGTGGCTGTACTGCGGGTGTGAGACAGCTCAACCACCCCTCTCCACCCCTCTCTATTCCCCTGCAACCCTCAGGTTCTCCGACCTGCCAGCAAAGATACCCTGGGCCCAAGAAAACGACGACGCATCACAGAGGCTGGAGCATGCAGCGAACCACATGGCACAGTATGCCTGCACGTGGAGTGGCGGGCAACAACCCCTTTCCACCCCTCTTAACTCCCTTCTCAACAGGTGCATGCATCGAACCACATGGCACGGTATGCCTGCACGTGGAATGGCAGGCGGCTGTACTGGGCGCTGCTGGCAGGGCGAGGGGCCATGGGGAGCGATGTCAGACGGCTCAACAACCTCTCTCCACCCTTCTCTATTCCCTTGCAACCCTCAGATTCTCTGATCTCCCTGCTAAGATACGCTGGGCCCAAGAGAACGACGACGCAGCACAGCGGCTGGTGCATGCAGCCAACCACATGGCGCAGTATGCCTGCACGTGGAGCGGCAGGCGCCTGTACTGGGCGCTGCTGTTGGTGAAGTACCATGACGTCTTGCAGGACCCCTCTGCCATCACCGAGCCTACAGCCAACGAGATCTGCACCAAGCAGTGAGTGGTGTGGTGTTGGTGTGTGTTCCCTGCACGTGACTCTGGGCGCTGCTGTTGGTGAAGTACCATGACGTCTTACAGGACCCCTCTGCCATCACTGAGCCCACTGCGAATGAGATCTGCACCAAGCAGTGAGTGTGGGCTGTGCTGTGTGAAGTGAATGTAGACGGCTGTACTGGTCGGGCGCTGCTGCTGCTCAAGTACCATGACATGCTGCTGCTGGTCAAGTACCATGACATGCTGCTGCTGGTCAAGTACCATGACATGCTGCTGCTGGTCAAGTACCATGACATGCTGCTGCTGGTCAAGTACCATGACATGCTGCTGCTGCTCAAGTACCATGACGTGCTGCTGCTGATCAAGTACCATGACATGCTGCTGCTGGTCAAGTACCATGACATGCTGCTGCTGCTCAAGTACCATGACATGCTGCTGCTGCTCAAGTACCATGACATGCTGCTGCTGCTCAAGTACCATGACATGCTGCTGCTGCTCAAGTACCATGACATGCTGCTGCTGCTCAAGTACCATGACATGCTGCTGCTGGTCAAGTACCATGACATGCTGCTGCTGCTCAAGTACCATGACATGCTGCTGCTGCTCAAGTACCATGACATGCTGCTGCTGCTCAAGTACCATGACATGCTGCTGCTGGTCAAGTACCATGACATGCTGCTGCTGCTCAAGTACCATGACATGCTGCTACTGCTCAAGTACCATGACATGCTGCTGCTGCTCAAGTACCATGACATGCTGCTGCTGCTCAAGTACCATGACATGCTGCTGCTGCTCAAGTACCATGACATGCTGCTGCTGCTCAAGTACCATGACATGCTGCTGCTGCTCAAGTACCATGACATGCTGCTGCTGCTCAAGTACCATGACATGCTGCTGCTGCTCAAGTACCATGACATGCTGCTGCTGCTCAAGTACCATGACATGCTGCTGCTGCTCAAGTACCATGACATGCTGCTGCTGCTCAAGTACCATGACATGCTGCTGCTGCTCAAGTACCATGACATGCTGCTGCTGCTCAAGTACCATGACATGCTGCTGCTGCTCAAGTACCATGACATGCTGCTGCTGCTCAAGTACCATGACATGCTGCTGCTGGTCAAGTACCATGACATGCTGCTGCTGGTCAAGTACCATGACATGCTGCTGCTGCTCAAGTACCATGACATGCTGCTGCTGGTCAAGTACCATGACATGCTGCTGCTGGTCAAGTACCATGACATGCTGCTGCTGCTCAAGTACCATGACATGCTGCAGTGCATGACCCCTCAGCTGTGACTGTAACCACAGCCAACGAGATCTGCACCAAGAAGTGAATATCTTTGGGCCTGAAAAATCCCCAAGCATTGACGGCTGTACTGGGCGGGCGCTGCTGCTGGTCAAGCACCATGACGTGCTGCTGCTGGTCAAGTACCATGACATGCTGCTGCTGCTCAAGTACCATGACATGCTGCTGCTGGTCAAGTACCATGACATGCTGCTGCTGGTCAAGTACCATGACATGCTGCTGCTGGTCAACTACCATGACATGCTGCTGCTGCTCAAGTACCATGACATGCTGCTGCTGGTCAAGTACCATGACATGCTGCTGCTGGTCAAGTACCATGACATGCTGCTGCTGGTCAAGTACCATGACATGCTGCTGCTGGTCAAGTACCATGACATGCTGCTGCTGGTCAAGTACCATGACGTGCTGCTGCTGGTCAAGTACCATGACGTGCTGCTGCTGCTCAAGTACCATGACATGCTGCTGCTGGTCAAGTACCATGACATGCTGCTGCTGGTCAAGTACCATGACATGCTGCTGCTGGTCAAGTACCATGACATGCTGCTGCTGCTCAAGTACCATGACATGCTGCTGCTGGTCAAGTACCATGACATGCTGCTGCTGCTCAAGTACCATGACATGCTGCAGTGCATGACCCCTCGGCTGTGACTGTAACCACAGCCAACGAGATCTGCACCAAGAAGTGAATATCTTTGGGCCTGAAAAATCCCCAAGCATTGACGGCTGTACTGGCGGGCGCTGCTGCTGGTCAAGCACCATGACGTGCTGCAGGACCCCTCAGCCATCACCGAGCCTACAGCCAACGAGATTTGCACCAAGCAGTGAGTGCTGCCACTCTGTGTTTCCTCGATTTTGTCTCTCCGCTCTCTTCCCGCCCTTCCATCGCTGCTGCTCGTCAAGCACCATGACGTGCTGCAGGACCCCTCTGCCATCACCGAGCCTACAGCCAACGAGATTTGCACCAAGCAGTGAGTGCTGCCACTCTGTGTTTCCTCGATTTTGTCTCTCCGCTCTCTTCCCGCCCTTCCATCGCTGCTGCTCGTCAAGCACCATGACGTGCTGCAGGACCCCTCTGCCATCACCGAGCCTACAGCCAACGAGATTTGCACCAAGCAGTGAGTGCTGCCACTCTGTGTTTCCTCGATTTTGTCTCTCCGCTCTCTTCCCGCCCTTCCATCGCTGCTGCTCGTCAAGCACCATGACGTGCTGCAGGACCCCTCTGCCATCACCGAGCCTACAGCCAACGAGATTTGCACCAAGCAGTGAGTGCTGCCACTCTGTGTTTCCTCGATTTTGTCTCTCCGCTCTCTTCCCGCCCTTCCATCGCTGCTGCTCGTCAAGCACCATGACGTGCTGCAGGACCCCTCTGCCATCACCGAGCCTACAGCCAACGAGATTTGCACCAAGCAGTGAGTGCTGCCACTCTGTGTGTCCTCGATTTTGTCTCTCCGCTCTCTTCCCGCCCTTCCATCGCTGCTGCTCGTCAAGCACCATGACGTGCTGCAGGACCCCTCTGCCATCACCGAGCCTACAGCCAACGAGATTTGCACCAAGCAGTGAGTGCTGCCACTCTGTGTTTCCTCGATTTTGTCTCTCCGCTCTCTTCCCGCCCTTCCATCGCTGCTGCTCGTCAAGCACCATGACGTGCTGCAGGACCCCTCTGCCATCACCGAGCCTACAGCCAACGAGATTTGCACCAAGCAGTGAGTGCTGCCACTCTGTGTTTCCTCGATTTTGTCTCTCCGCTCTCTTCCCGCCCTTCCATCGCTGCTGCTCGTCGAGCACCATGACGTGCTGCAGGACCCCTCTGCCATCACCGAGCCTACAGCCAACGAGATTTGCACCAAGCAGTGAAGTGCTTTCCTCATGCCTCCCTCTACCACCCAAACCCCAAATCCACACCCACTCCCTCCCGGTCGTTATCCCAGGCCCTTTCTCCAGCCCTCCTTCTCCCCTCCTTCCCCCTGTCTTCCCCCCCCCTTTCCCTTGCTGCTTTCTGCTTTCATCCCAGGCCCCTTCTCCAGCCCCCTCCCAACGCCACCAACCCTGCTCTGGTGCACTGTGCCGACTCCGCCGCACCCAAGCACCAGCTGGACTCTGCATTTCTCATTCCTCCATCTCCCCTCTCCCCCCCCTTCTTCTCCCTCTTTCCCTCCTCACCCTTCGCCTCGCCCGTCCCTGCTATTACGCCAGACCCCTGTTGCAACTCCCTCCCAACGCCACCAACCCTGCCCTCGTGCACTGTGCCGACCCCGACGCACCCAAGCACCAGCCGGACTGTGCATTCCCCATGTCTCTGTCTCCCCTCCCCTCTTCCACTCCACCACTGGCGTTTTTCCTTGTTGTTGCAGACCACTTCTACAGCCCCCTCCCAACGCCACCAACCAACCCTGCAATGGTGCACTGTTCCGACCCTGACTCATCCAAGCACCAACCCGACTGCGCACTCTTCATGCCTCCATCTCTCTACTACCCCCTTCCCCCCCAACCCTGCTGCTTTTATCCCAGACCCCTCCTACAGCCCCCGCCCAACGCCACCAACCCTGCTCTGGTGCACTGTGCCGACCCCGACGCACCCAACCACCAGCCGGACTGTGCCTTCTTCTGTGCCAAGGCCACCATACCCGGCTTGGGGCTCGTCTGGTTGCGAGCTGACGTGCTCCGAGGGCTCAAGAAGATCGGCCCTCCGTGAATTCTGCATACAGTCCGGTTGTGAGTGGTTCGTCGTGGTAGTTTTGATACCGTATGTATAGATGTTCATTTGAATGGTTCACTTAATGTGTGTTGTGCTTGATGAAGTTTGACGCCCAAGCCACTCATCTGGCTGGCCGATGAATTCGGTACTGGAAAAATATGTCATCCATGACATTCAATCTAAGGGCATTTTGCAAAAGTTCTGGAATGATATCCAGCTCAATTCAGATTGCGAGACTCCACATGAGTTATATTTTTAATGCATTACATCAATGGCCCAGATTTGCCAAGAACTGGTCATATGATTGCCTGCACTTTCATTACTAAAGTTGATAAGTATCAAACGGCTTATTAAGCCCCGAATATTTTGAGGTACAGCATTTCTGCAAATCTGTCCACTCATTAGCGAGTATGCTTGCTCTAGGCAACGCTCTAGGTGCCATCCAGCTCCACCTTATCTACTCCCAGACTTCTGGCAAAGTCAAACGGGACCCTATACTCTCAGAACCAGAATCGTGCATATGAACCAAGATAGATAATTAGATCCAGTAGGTTACACGCAGAAGAGGAGAGTGGCGAGCAGGGTGGTGAAAAAAGCCATTATAGTGCTCGCAGGAGATACGAGCGATCCTGTTATGTGAAAACAGCGGGAGCAGAGGAACGTATGGTTTTAGGACATGGCAGCGATGTGGAACGAAATGTAAAAAAACACATCTCTTTCGTGTAGCATCGTTTTCTTGGCATTAGCTTCTCCGTGCAACAGCCACAGAAGACGAAATCGCGGCTATTGATTAACAGGCTTGGGTGTGGAAACAAAGGAATGGTTTAGGGCCACGGTTTCGTCCAGGTTCAACGTATCAAACATAGAATGTGTCGAGTAACAGCAGCCAAAGAACCTACCAGCAGGCTTCGGTGCGGGAGGAGCGGCTTGTTTAACGGTCACTGTTCCGTCAGGGTTCACTGTGAATCCCGGAGTCTGGATTCCGCCGGCGCTGGCACCTCCGGTACTGATGTTGAGCCCACCAGGGAACGTAATCCCGCCGTTTGTTCCGTCAGAACTGACGGTCCCGTTCGGATAGACGGTGAAACCGCCGGCAGATACAGATCCGTCCGCGTTCGTTGTCGGGGTGATCGCCTGACCTTCACCGTTCACAATTGTGCCGTTCGGAAAATATGTCGTGCCGTTTACGGTCACGCTGCCATTCCCCGCGTCGGTTGAATAATCGACACCGGTCACGGAACCGTCTGGTCCGAAAGTAACGCCTGGGATTTGAACCGTGCCGTTTGTATTATCGGGTTCAGCGACCGCAAGATTGACGGCTGGCGACAAAGCCGCTGCAAGGAGAAGAAGCACTGTGAGCATGAGTGGACGAGTCGCCATGTTGAGCTAGGACCCGAGTCGTGCAAGAAGTTCTTTGTTGAACAAAGAAGGGTACTGTGTATGAATAATAATAGATGGACAACGCAACGTACTGGCACTTTGTGTCCAGCTGAAGGGCTGTGCGAAGTTCGTCTGTTTGGCTGAAGGGACATCTGTCCAAGATATAGTACGTAATCGTGGACGAACACGTTTCGACGCCATCCCTATCGCATACGCAAGTGGTGATGGGTAGACTTCCATCTCTTCCTCCCTCTGTCCGTCCTTCCCTCCGTCCGCCCTCCCTCCGTCCCTCCCTCCGTCCCTCCCTCCGCCCGCCCTCCCTCCGTCCCTCCTCCCTCCATCCCTCCCTCCACCTCCTTGATGTGATAACGCTCAGTTGCTTCCGTTATTTCTGTTAACGGTTCCCCACCTCTTGCTTAGAACGTGAAGCCACGGCTCGCTGCAGCAAATACACACTTGTTTGGCAAGCACGCAATACAACCTCGCATTTCCTAATCACTAACAGCACCGACCAACAACGCCCCAACGTCTTTTCCTGCCTTGTCCGCCAACAACGCTAACAAGTTTCCCAGAACGAAACCCAAGCCCATCAGAGTAGCAAACAAGGGGACAGGGATGTTGCTGGCACTTCTGCCGTTTGTTACTGTAAACTCTTGTAAAAATGCTCTGAGACTGCAACCAACCAATCATTTTGCATCAATACCGGGTCTGCTTGTTGCAGGGAGTTCCCTTGTGCCTTTTCCTGTTCTGGCTTTACTTTTCTGTAGAGGAGACACACTTATACGGTGTCTTGAGGCTGGCGAGACAGTACAAAAGCGATGACTTGTGAACCAGTTTCGGCTTGCCAAAATTGGCGCCCAAAACCTCGGCGCCTTACTGAACCGTATTTCACCGACCGTATTTTGTTCCTCCTGGCGTTACCTAGGTGCTGATTTCTGGTTCGGCTTGTTTGGTGCACCGCATGCACGAACCAAGCTGGATGGTTGAGCGAATGGTTACCAGGAAATACGAAGTAAGACATGCTGGGGTCGGGAGATTTTATTCGACCTATCTGCCTTCCCTGCGACTCACAGCCCCGAGAAGGGTGACCAAGTGACCTCGCTAGGATCATAAATTCGTACAACGATCTGGCGAAATTGCTACTCCTCTCCTCTGCTTACCTCTTCCCCGTGCCACGATTGTTCCGGCGTTATCGTTCAATTAGCGAACATGATTTGATATCTTTGTCCGATTGTTAGCAAATATCTCGAGAAGGAGGCCTTTCCTGGTGCGGCGGGTGATTGACCTCAAATAATCTTCTGAAATCGATAGAACGCAACTGATTGTGGTGTAGTGGCTTGCAAGGACCTTCACAATCAGTTCTAGCACCCTTTAATACATGACAGCTCTGGGATACGGAGGCAACAGGCTCGTGATAGGTCATTCAGCATACAGCCACTGATGTATACCTCTCATCTGCAGCAGCAGCGACGCCAGAAAAGGGAGGTCTGGCCACAGCCAGATCTGAGACTCATGCCACGTCATCCCGAGGTGTACGAGCCGTGCGACGACTCCTTCGCCCTCGCCGATGCCATCACCGCAGACATCGCCCGGTTTTACCCGTCGTTTGCAACCTGCGCCAGCAACAACAGTCCGTCATCCGACCAAATCCTTCCGTCATCGTCCATCTCACACAAATCCCCCGCGTCCCCACCCCCGCATTCGTCCACGTCGTCCCATCCTCCACATGCCCACATGATCTCCTCCGGCATTCCGTCGTTTCCTGCTCTGGTTGTCGAGCTGGGGTCCGGTAGCGGCTTTGTGCTTACATCAGTGGCTCTCGCCCTCCGCGCCCTCTCTGCTCCTTCTGCCCCCGCGGTCATCTCTGGCAGCAGCAGTGCTGCTATTAGTGCTGGCGGTGCTGATGCTGCTGGTAGGGGTCCTGGCAATGGTGCTGCTGCTGCCGTCTCCCTCGCCTCTCAGGCCGCATTTCTCGCAGTGGACATCAACCCCCATGCCGCAGACATCACCCGACAAACCCTAGCAGCCCACTGCATTCCAGCAGACGTTCTTTTATCAGATCTCGGATCGGCCCTTAAACCGAGAATGGCAGGCCAAGTAGACATTCTCATCTTCAACCCGCCATACGTCCCAACTTCACCACAAGAAGTCCGCCGTCCGGGAATCACGCAAGCTTGGGCGGGAGGGGATCGCGGGAGGGAGGTAATAGACCGAGCTTTGGAGGTTTCGACAAAGCTGTTGTCCCCCAGAGGGGTGTTTTACCTGCTTGTTGTGGCGGAGAATGACCCTGAAGAGGTGGTGGGGAGAATGAGAGGGTTGGGATTTGAAGGAGAGCAGCTGCTGAGGAGAGGGACGGAAGAGGAGGTTATATTGGTGCTCAAGTTTTGGAGAATCAAATTACTATGATGTCACCGGACAATCTTATTCATTGTATGTTTAACACGTGACGAACGTGGAACATGAACGCACGTGACGAACGTTGAACATGAACGCATGTGATGATGTGACTGAAACACCTTGTTGGAAATCCTTGTATTTTTTGGAATAGTCAGCTTGACGTTCACCCTAAACCGGATTTTTGCCTTCGTCATCAGGCGAGACCAGCCGGTGCTGTTTCGCGATGTACTCCCCCCAAATATCGTCTGACGTCATCTTGCTGCGAAGGCACTGTTGGCAAATCCTCGTCACCGCGCAAGCTATCCATGCTAACAAAGGTGCACGTGGCTTATGTATTTCAGGCTCACTGACCTGACAGGTTCCCTAAACCAGCTCTAGGCTAGGAAGGCCGTTTGGTTCGAGGCACCCTACAATTTGCCCAAACCAGCTTTCCTGCCTTTATTGCCCCCTAACACGAGTTCACCTGACCCTTTGATTACCGAACGGGCTTGGTTCGGCAAGTTTCTCCAACCACACCTCCCTAACCTCCTCCCCCTCCCCACCTGCGCTACTGATCAACCTCCACTTTGCTGCCCCCTACCAGCCTACCTTCCTCCCCCACTTCCTCCTCCAAATCAAACCTCCTTCCCGCGGCTATGTTCATCTCCAGACCACCTTCGCCACTCCACCAAAGCCGAGCAAATCCAAAGGCAAGCCAACCAAACCATACTTTCTGTTCCGACGCACTTCTTTTCTGCTTCTTGCGACCTTTGTACGCACGCATTCTTCAAGTTCTGATAGTAGTTTCTTCTATTGCCGAAGAAAAATCTAACGTCCGTTTCCTTGCACATAGCTACTGCTCATCAGCTACCAAGAAAGGACCCGTAATCGAGCACGTTCCATAGTGCTGGGAGCTTATTGAAAGAGCACGTTCCCTAAAGAGCTTTCTCTTTCTGCTAGTTAATCAGGGTTCAGGTACCTGCACTGGGCTGGTTGCTCGAGAGTTCACATGGCGGAACGTCAGATCGTGGTTGCGATGGATGCTCGCGAGGGAAGCCGCGACGCGTTTTTCTGGGCTTTAGAGAACCTAATAAAGCCGGAGGACCACGTCACGCTCCTCAATGTCCGACCCACTCGCGCCACGATTCTTCCCACGCGCACAGGTATATTCCCGTTACGCGTTCGGAGCGCTCCTTTTTGCCCTAATAAACGCACTTTTCATTCCTCCGACGACTGTGGTCGTGCTTCATCTAGCTGTAGCTGTTATTTGAGATGTCTCAAAAATCGGGGTGTATTCTAGAATCTCAAAAAATTACCCTAGTTCGTCTAGCGGACTCATGTATCACATGTCTCGAAACTCGACCGCTGCATTCATAGCACACTCTTTGGTTGTTCCGACGAGCGTAGTCGTGTTTTGAGGCGCGTTTGAACACGCAATGACTCTCTCTTACATGCAGGCGTATCTCGCTGTTTGTGTGCGTCGCGACCGGTACCAAATGCTATCAAGCCCCCCTTGTTTTTATAGAGAGTAAGTCATGGCATGTTGTGCGATGACATGTCATACGCGATTCCACGCCATGCCATAACACACCATACCATTCCAACAATACTATACCATACCACCACGCCACTCCATGCACCACATGCCATCATCACCCCTCCATGCAGACCTGTCAGCATCGTCAGGAGGGCAAGGTGATGACGACGGGTACATGCTGGCCATGGAGCAGATTCCCAGTTTGCATGCCCCAACCCCCTCCCCCAACCCATTATCTTTCCCAATGGATGCTTTCTCTGTCTGACATCCATGCAGACCTGTCGGCATCATCAGGAGGGCAGGGTGATGACGACGATGGCTACATGCTGGCAATGGAGCAAATCCTCGATGACGTCATTCACAAGGCGCACGAACGCTTCCCTGTAAGCAATGTGCCACTAACGAATCGGTGTACCCATTAACGCGTATGAAAATAACACCGAGGGGTACATGCTGGTCATGGAGCAGGTCCTCAATGACGTCATTCACAAGGCGCACGAACGCTTCCCTGTAAGCATGCAACGTGACACAGACGAATCGGTGTGTACAACGCGTATGCAAGTCACAGCAACGGGTGCATGCTGGCGATGGAGCATATCCTTAATGACGTCATCCAAAAGGCGCATGAGTGCTTCCCTGTGAGCAACGTGACTCTAAAGAGTGGTTGGTTGGTTGTACCTTTTTTTAGGAGCCTCAAGAAGTGCACGAGCGCTTCCCTGCACGTGAGGGTGGATGCATGCACGCGTGCATGGATGGGCCTTTCAGGTGCTAGGGAGATGGTGATGATGGTGCTGACGTGGGAACATGCTGACGTGGAAACATGCTGATGTCGAAACATGCTGACGATGGGAACATGCCGATGTGGCTACATGCTGATGTGGAAACTTGCTGATGTGGAAACTTGCTGACGATGGAACATGCTGACGTGGGAACATGCTGACGATGGAACATGCTGACGATGGAACATGCTGACGTGGGAACATGCTGACGATGGAACGTGCTGACGTGGGAACATGCTGACGTGGGAACATGCTGACGTGGGAACATGCTGACGTGGGAACATGCTGACAATGGAGCATGCTGACGATGGAACATGCTGACGATGGAACATGCTGACGTGGGAACATGCTGACGATGGAACATGCTGACGATGGAACATGCTGACGATGGAACATGCTGACGATGGAACATACTGACGTGGGAACATGCTGACAATGGAGCAGATCCTCAACGGCGTCGTCCATAAAGCATGTGAACGCTCTCCCTCACTTTCCGTCCCTTGGTCCTTCCCCCCTCTCTCCCAGGGCCTCAAGGCGGACAAGGCCATCAAGTCGGGCGACCCCAAGCACCTCATTCTCGACAAGGTGGTCATCAGGGACGCCGCTGCTCTCTTCACCCGTCTTCATCCCTCCTCACCCCTCGCAACCCTTCTCCCCTCTCCACCGCTCTTCACCGCTCTCCCAGGGTCTCAAGGTGGACAAGGCCATCAAATCGGGCGATCCCAAGCACCTCATTCTGGACGAGGTGGTCATCAGGGAAGCTGCTGCGCTCGTCATGAGTTCCCGGGGGCTCAGTCCGGTTCAGAGGTGTGTAACTGGGTGTCAGGTGTGTAATGGGACAGCTGGCGGGCAGGATGGCACCTCATTCTGGACGAGGTGGTCATCAGGGACGCGGCAACTTTGGTCATGAGCTCCCGGGGGCTCAGCCCGGTGCAGAGGTGTGTGCATGGCATGGCATGGGTGTCTGAATAGGGCAGTGTTTGGTTGGACTGGGGGATTGCTCTTAATGGGCGTCTGATGGATGGGGCAGCAGCCAGGCAGGCAGGCAGCACCTCATTCTGGACCAGGTGATCACCAGGGACGCTGCTGTGCTGATAATCATGAGCTCCTGGGGGCTCAGCCCGGTTCCGAGGTTTGTAAATGGGTGCCTGAGTGAGTGGGGCATTGATGGGGCAGGCAGGGCGAGAGCAGGATGGCATGTGGGGTGAGGTGGGTTGAGTCCGGTGCAGAGGTTTGTGCACAGTGGGTCAAAGTGCGGCATGGATTGATGGGGCAGCGTGTGTGCAGACGGCATGTGATTCTGGACCAACTGATGGTGAGGCATGTTGCTGCTCTGGTCTTGACATCCCATGGGTTCAGCGCAGTGCAGAGGTATGCATGATGGGGTCCACATGTGGACGGGTTTGAATGTGGGTTGAAGTGGGCCGAGCCCGGTACAAAGGTTTATGCATGGGTGTGCATTCTATGGACGCCTTGCGTCCCCTTTGCTCTCCTGCATTCAATCTTGACTTGACTTGTGCCCTTCCTCCGATCCGCTCGTCGTGTGTCTTGACCCCCCCCCCCCCCCCCAAGGCTTTACTTGCTTCTGTGAGCAAGAAACTACTACTCTCACAACTCTTTCACCTCTTTCACCTCTCCCTTTCCTCCCATACCTCTCCACAATCCTCCTCACCCCACGCTGGTCCTCGTCTGGTTCCCAGAGCCCTGTCCTTTCTGATTCCCGTTCACCCCCTATTCATCTCCCCCATCCTCCCACTCCATCCTCCCTCCCCCATCCTCTCCCCTCTCCCTCCCTCGCAGGAACGACCTTGGCTCTGTCACCGCAAGCAAGCCTACACAAACTTAAAATCAGTTTGCTAAAAGTTACTGCTGCCACGCATTGACCATGGCTCCTGTTTGGGGCTCCATCGGACCTTGGCTCTCTCACCGACCACTGCTCTCTTCTTCTTTCCCTTCACCTATTTTCCACCCTCCCTCTTCCCCCATCCTCGCCTCCACCTCTCTCAGGACCTTTCGTGGCTGGATCAGCGATTACTGCTCTCTGTCCCCTTCTCCTCTCTTCTCTCCCTCACGTTCAAGTTTACCCCTTCCTCTTGTATTCCCATCCTCCCCTCTTTCCCGCTCTCAGGGCCTTCCTTGGCTCGATCAGCGATTACTGCTCTCGTAATGCAGGTGAGGGCTGGGGGGTGCAATCACAGGTGAGGGCTGGGGGGTGCAATCACAGGTGAGGGCTGGGGGGTGCAATCACAGGTGAGGGATGGGGGGTGCAATCACAGGTGAGGGCGCAAACACAAATGAGGGCGCAAACACAAATGAGGGCGCAAACACAAATGAGGGCGCAAACACAGGTGGGGTGTGCAAACACAGGTGGGGTGTGCAAACACAGGTGGGGTGTGCAAACACAGGTGGGGTGTGCAAACACAGGTGGGGTGTGCAAACACAGGTGGGGTGTGCAAACACAGGTGGGGTGTGCAAACAAAGCCAAGTTTAGCATTCCCGATTGCTCTTTTAATACAGGTGAGTTGTGTGGCATGAAGGCCGAGGTGAGCTTAGCATTCCCGACTGCTATTGTAATTCAGGCGAGTTTGCCCGTAGACCCCGAACTTCTTCTCCCTGTCCTTTCCTGCCCTCATCCGACCCCTTGCCAAATTCCCTTGCTTTGTCTGCTGTGGCAGAGTGTCCTGTGATTGTTGTGAGAGGCAAACCAGCCCACTGATTCCTGTCTGGGCTTTTTTTATTTAGCCAAAACCAGTAACATGTTTATGACTTCAACACATGGTCAAATAGATTTGGCTTTTGTGTGGTTACCAGGTCAAATAGATTTGGCTTTTGTGTGGTTACCAGCATTTTTTATTCGTGTATGTACCTACCATCTAACTATGGCTCCATGGTCAAATAGATTTGTGTTGCATTCTTCCAATACTGCCTGACATCACATCGCACACCTTGGTCGCGGTCTCTTTCCACATGAACGATCAAAGAGACCGATGGTGCACTGCTCTTCAGCCAGCTTGGAACAGACGAACACGGTTACTGTATGCTGTCTTTTCATGGTGTCCCTGTTTTTGCAGAGACACCACATGCACGCCACCTCTCGTTGGTGTAGTTCATGTCCTGCCCTGGAGTGTGGAACACAGGGCCTATGATTCACTTTGTTAGAATTTAAGCTGTCTGAATAGGATCGTAGTCTTAGGATAGTAGCTTCCTGTAGCAGTGGAAGTCTTATATGAGTGACTTGTAACGGGATCAATATCTCTGAAATCAAGTATATTAAGAAATGATAAACATACAGAATATATACTAGGATAAAGTACCTATTCGCTTAATGTACCTATTAGCCTGAAACGGTACGTGACTATTCACGATACCTACAGCTACTGCTGACGTCATCCTAGAGCGCGTAGCGCTTTGCTGACGTCAGCCTATCGGTACTTTTACTGTACTAACTACACTACACGAATTCCTTGAAGTGCACAAGTCTCGATATTATCTCAACACTCCCCTTCACTTCTATGAGTTCGGTGTAGTCACCCTGTTGACTCGGAAATGCCACTGAGCTGGTTGCAGTGATGAAATTTCTGACGTGTCAGCTTCTTAGTAAGCGAATCAGCGGCCATGTCGCTGGTGGGGCAGTAGACAAGGCGCATTCTCCCCTTGTCGATCGCGTCTTTTACGAAGAAGTAACGCAGCGAAATGTGCTTCGTGCGATTGACGAAACCAGGCTTGTTGGCGATGGTAATTGCACTCTGGTTGTCGCACTGCAACGTGAACTGATTCGGCGTGACGAATTTTGCTTCGTCAAGCAATTCCTGCAGGTACAGACCTTCGCGAGTTGCAGCACAGGCGGCGATGAATTCTGCTTCAGCCGATGAAATTGACACGAGTTCCTGTTTCGAGGAATTCCAGGAGATCGGACCAATCGGCTCGAGACGAAAAATATAACCCGTGCGTGACCGTCGATCTGACGTGTCGCCAGCGTGGTCCGCGTCAACGTACCCGCTGAGGTACATTTTGTCGGTCGGCTTCCCAGCGTTGAAAATCAACCCGATTGTTGGTGTAGAGACGAAGTAGCGTAGCGCACGCTGTAAGTCGAGAGAGTGTTCTTCTTTCGGGCAGCGTAGAAACTGCGCAAGGTGACTTGCGACGTAGGCAAGATCAGGACGACAGGTGACTGCTGCGAAAAGGAGACATCCCAGCTGCTGCTGATACAGTTGAAGACCAGCTGCTGACAGATTTTTCAGGTTGGGAACGTGCCCGGTGAGTGTAGACCGATAAGGTGTAGCAACGAAATCCGTGGAGATGTTGAAACGCTTAGCGAGTGACTCCGCATACTTCGAAGCCGTGAGATGAATAGCGGAAGAAGTTCGCGAAACGTTTAACCCCAGAAATTGAGTTACTTTGGTGGAAATGGTTAAGTCAAGCGATTTCTTCAGATCGGCTTCGATACGATCACCCAGCGAAGTCGACGAACTGACGTAGAGGATGTCGTCCACGTAAGCCACTAACAACGCATAGCTCCCCTTGTCGTCTAGCCGGTACATCCCGGGATCGTGCGGCAGTTGTCGAAACCCAACCTCCGTCAGCTTTCTGTTCAAATGCTGCTGCCACAGTCGCAGTGCTTGTTTGATTCCGTACAGTGACTTTTTGAGCTTGCAGACACTCGGCGGATTTGTCGGATAGGTGTGCGGATATTCGACGTAGATTTCGGCATCGACGTCGGCGTACAGAAAAGCGTTGGAAACATCGATTTGTCGAAGTGGAAAATTCTTCGCGGCTGCTTCGCAGAGAACGAGTCGAACACTCGTATGTCGACTGACCGGGGCGAAGGTAAGCGTGTAGTCGATCCCATGAGTCTGATCAAAACCGCGAACCACCCACCGTGCCTTGTGTTTCTCGTAAGTACCATCCGCTTTCGTCTTCACCCTGAAGACCCACTTACCGGTAAGAACATTTTTGTTTACCGTTTTTTCAATGGGTATAAGATCCCAAGTTTCCCTTTTCTCCAGGGCATCCAGTTCGCGATCCATCGCTTCACGCCATTTTTCGCGATGAGGCCCTAAGAGAGCTTGTCGGGCAGTTTTCGGCTCCAAATTCACTGTAGAACTGTGCTGTACCGCTGCTGCGAGTCCCAGAATTTGCAGTCCGGTCTGATAATGCGGATTATCGTCGGTGCGACCTGCGAAATTGACAGAATCGTTCTGGTCTCCACTTGCCCCCCCAATTTCGTCAGGGTTGACACGGATGCTGCTATCGGAAACCACCGGCATTGGTTGGCGCTGTTCATCCACGAGGTAAGTATGATGAACATCGCGAACATCCTCAGGTGCCGCGTCAGCAAGAGGAATAAACTCCGGAATTCCGGAGGACGTGACAGGGACAGGTGGGTCGGGAACAGCTTCACGTGCACCGTCGGGGTCAGGTTCTTCGCTGGCAGCAAGTTCGGCGTCGGCGCTAGCGAACGAACGAACACCGTGGAAAAGCGTGGCAAGATGCTGTTCGAAGACGGGCAGCGTCAGATTCTCGTAGAAAATACAGTCGCGAGCAGGAACAAGGAGACGACTGCGGTAATCCATGATACGCCAGGCAAGAGATTGTTTTTCAATGCCGAGATGCAGCCCCCACTTAGCACGCTGGTCGAACTTCCCGAGCGGAGCGGTAGGAGGACGGTACTGAACAACACACCCGAAAACACGAAGTAATTTAGTGGTACCCAACTTGCCCGTCCACAGCAAGTAGGGTGAGGCGTTGTTGGGCAGGGCCGAGGACGAAAGAAGATTGTGCAACACCGTTGCATGGTCCATGGCGAAAGGCCAGTAGAGTGGGCCGAGTTGAGCCTGGGCAAGAAGGGCTCGCATCTTCTCTTGCAGAGTCCTGTTGAGCCGCTCAGCTACGCCACTCTGTTGATGAGCGTGAGGCAACGAAAAAAGTCGTCTTATCCCGCGTTCTTGCAGGTAGGTCGTGAACTCGTTACTGCGATACTCGCCGGCGCCGTCACACTGAAACGCCTTTAGCTTAGTATCAGACTCTCGTTCGGCGAGAGGAAGCCAGGTGCGGAAAGCTGTAAACGCAAGAAAACGGTTAGTCATGTTTCCAGTCCAAACGTAACGAGTAGAAGCTTCTGTAAATGTGATAACGTAGCGCTCGCCGTTGAAACCATCCGCAGGTAAGTTGAGTATATCGCTGTAAACCTTATCCATCAGGTGATAATCTTCAGCTCCAGGGACATGAGTCGGGAACGGCTCGTGCGGTAGGTTCGCCGTAGGGCAGATGGTGCAGGGTGCCGGGCGATTCACCGGCTTCAGTTCGAGACCGCTCGGTAAGAGTAACGAATTCTTGTCAAGCACTGCAGCCTTGATCGTGTTGTTTAGCGTAGACTGCGACGGATGACCAAGTCGCTTATGCCATGTTTCTCCCGTGACTTTGTGACCTTGTGCGCGCAGGTAATACTCGGCGTTAGCGAAGAACGACAACAGAAGCTGATGACCATCGGAGCGGATCTGATCGAAAACAGGTGCGACGTAACGAGTAAGATTTGGTGGTGGAACACGAACCTCAACATCCACGTACTCGCCTGGAGCAAGTACTAACTCGTCGCTTTCTTGATCGGATGCTGCAGGTACAGGTTCAACTCCAACGAGACGACCCGAGTCAAGAATCTCCATATCAGCGACGCGTTGCTCAGCTTCAGCGAGAAGACGATCATCGCGTTCAGCAGGCGTCTCGCCCCAAGTTGTTTCATCGGGTTCGTCAGCCCCCCAGATGCCGTCATCAGTCGGCATGTTCGTCGGATCACCCCAACCTTCAACAGCAGCCATGTACTCCCGGGAGGACTGAACATTATTCAAGCCTTGATCGTCGAAGGTCAACATGACGGCGGCAGCCGTGGTTGAAGACGTCGGGACAACTCCCTCACGTGGAACTGTATCGTCGGTGTAATCAATGTCGTCGCGATGCTCCCAAGGACCAAGCGAGAGAATGTTATCAGAGTCGGCAGTAGTGCGCTCAGGTATGAAGTTCAAAACGAAAACACCGTTTTGCTCAACTGCCGTGCCGAGTTTGTTGTCGCCGTACTTCAGAGTGAATTTCCGAGGTTCACCGAGAAGTGTAATCCCGTTCTTCATGAGCTGTGCAGATGACATGAGGTTGAAGCCAAGCCGAGGGACCAGAAGAACTTCGTTCAGGTGAATACTGAAGTCTTCTTCAACTGAGTCCAGAACGATACTTCCCATCCAGTGAGCTGTAAGCCGTTGGTTATTGGCGACTGTGACGACAACGGGATTCTGCAGACGGCGTTGATTCGCAATGAAACGCGTCTCTGACGAACACATGTGCTGACCGCAGCAACTGTCGAGGTACCAAGTATTGGGACCTGCAATAGTATGTGCAAGATCTGCATAGACCTCAGGTAGAATCGGTGTGTTGAGTTCGTCGTTGAACCGGTTGTGAATCCGCTCTTCAGCATCAGGATCATAAACCGTTGAAACTGATGTCATGCAGGTAATAACTTGCTTTGACTGTGTCTTCGCAGGGTCCGGCTTCGCAGAATTCAGCTTCGCAGCGTCCGGCTTCTCAGCTTCCGGCTTCTCAGCTTGACTTGAAGAATCTTTGGTATGTTTTGATGCAGACCGCTTCCAAGATGGTTTGTCTTTCGACCAGCAGGTATCAATAGTGTGTCCTGTTTTTCGACAAAAAGAACAAACGGGCTTGTGACGTGGATTAGAATAAAAGCTGACTGTATTGTTTACCACCTTTTTCCCTCCTCGAGCGTTGTGCAGGTCCATATCCTGCTGCTCGGTGATGAGAGCGGCACAGAGTGCCCCCTCGGACAACTGTGCTTGCATCCGAAGTATAGAGCGACACTGTCGCCATTCTGGTCCAAGACCCGCGAGTAGCACCGTGTGAAACATAGCGTCGGGGAAGTACCCTCCACACTTCTGAAGTTGATCACGCAAATTTCGAGCGCGGTTGATATACTGCGTCACCTTCTCGCCTTTATCATCTGTATATTTGACAGCTGCGTCAAAATTTTACTCTGGTTGACAGTGTCCTTTGCCATGTGAACCCCTTGCAGGTACAACCAAGCTGCTTCAGCAGGAGCGGCACTGGTACGAAAAGAACGAATTCCGAGCTGTTCAGTCGGTGTCAGATTACGAACGAGAACTGTGTATGCAGTCAGCGACGCCGATCGAAAAGTGGCTTGTTGAAGTGGTGACCCGTGAGATGGAAAGGGTGCTGTGCCATCATACAGCTGCCAGAACCCCGCGGTCTGAACAAGAAGCTCAAACTCAAAGCTCCAGGTATAAAAGTCTTGACCATTAAAAGGCGTTGTCGTTTTAATTTTTGTTGGATTTGCAGAAGCAGGAATATAATTTCCGTTACCGTCACCTGATTGTAGCTGATAAAGTGATAGCACTTGTGACCCTTGTTGTGTTTGTTAACCTTGTCCAGCAGGACCAAAAGAGAAGGAGTTGTTCGACCCGTCACTTCCTTGTGGCATCTGACCACGCTGATAACTGGAGCCATCAATGCTCATAGGAGTTGGAAACATCTGGTTAAGCGACAAGACGGCAGCATTAACACGTTGTTGAAGATTTTCTGGCTGGTAAGCACCTTGATATTGGTAAGGTCCAGTCGGTACGAAGTTGGACTGTTGTCCTGGTTGACTAGAAGAACCAGTGACTGCAGCTGCAGCTGTTGTGGCTGCTGATGCTGCTATTGCTGCGGCTGCTGTCGATGATGCCGCTGCTGTAGTTGCGTGTACGGGCTGATTGCTCAATGGCATGCCGTACATCGGTTGTTGCTGATATTGTTGTTGTTGTTGTTGTTGTTGTTGCTGCAGATGTGAATTATCAGCAGCTGGAGACGCTGTTGGGCGTGATGGGCTCGTAACAGAAGAGCCATTGTTGGACCTTGGAGATCCAGACATAGTTGTAGAGTAGGCAGGTGGAAGCTGTTATAATCCTAAGTGGCTCTCATACCATGTTAGAATTTAAGCTGTCTGAATAGGATCGTAGTCTTAGGATAGTAGCTTCCTGTAGCAGTGGAAGTCTTATATGAGTGACTTGTAACAGGATCAATATCTCTGAAATCAAGTATATTAAGAAATGACAAACATACAGAATATATACTAGGATAAAGTACCTATTCGCTTAATGTACCTATTAGCCTGAAACGGTACGTGACTATTCACGATACCTACAGCTACTGCTGACGTCATCCTAGAGCGCGTAGCGCTTTGCTAACGTCAGCCTATCGGTACTTTTACTGTACTAACTACACTACACGAATTCCTTGAAGTGCACAAGTCTCGATATTATCTCAACACATTTTTAGGCCCGTTAATGCATCAGGGTCCCTCTGTGTAGAATCCCTGATCGTCAGTGTCCCCAAAAAAAAAAGGCTGAAAATTCAGTGTTACCTTAAAAAAAAGTATGATGCATCAGTGTTCCCTTTTTGTAAAGGCTGATATTGAACTTAAAATAAGATAACACTAGGCAGGAACGCGATGAAACCCCAAGCGGATGGAAGGAAAGCATGGAGCAGAATGGGATGGGAGCCTGGATGGCAGGTAGCACGGCTGGGTGGCGTGGATGCATCAGTGCTTGCCAGCACGACTTAGACAAAACGGTCCACAGGACCACAGGTGCAAGCAATGGGCCAGAAACCCTCGCATCGCAGCCTGCCAGCATCGCTCTGTTGCAACCTTGTCATTGGTCAACCCACATAATGCTGCAAAAGTGGCCAATGATCGGACCAAGCGCGCCAACAAAGCAGCCCTCAAAGCGAATAACACGGGGCAAATTTCTCTGGTAGTCATCGCCAGGCGGTGCTGACACCGCGGGAATCTGAGATTCCCTGTACTTCCGGGCAACTACTCTCGGAACGTGTAGGAATCGCATTCAGTGTCAGTTTCGTTACAACGTAGTGTAATCAAGGTAGGCACAAAAAAATCCCTGAAAATCAGGAATTTCAGGGAAAAAATCCTGATATCGTAGGGCCTGGTGGAACATTGCAGTCAGTGGGGTGGATTGGTAAAACAGTCAGATGTTGTGTTGAGTTGAGATGCATCTTAAGACAAGTTGTTGTCAGGTCAGAAAACCATGTTATAGTTGCTGCGCACATCAAAGCGAACAAGGCAGAAGCCTTATCAAGCTGAACAAGCATAAGATTTTGGTGTACCAGGCACATAAGGTGGTACTGTATGTAAGCGACTACGCATATAAAATGATAAAATTCGTCTCTAGGTAACGCGCAAGTTTTGGGGTGCCTTTAGCTACATGTTTCAACCAAGAAGTGTACGACAAAGATGCACTGATCATTCTGTTTGCTCTGCATACACTAGGCCCGTGCTCCAAGTAAGCAGCCCTTGTGGTGCACACCTGCAGGGACACACACCAGAAGAGAGGCATTGACAGGCATCTATCATCGATTCTTTCTGTTCTCTCTGCATACACTAGGCCCGTGCTCCAAGCCGGGCGACCCCGAGCACCTCATTCTGGACGAGGTGGTCATCTAAGACGATGGTGCCCTCTTTCTCTCCCTCTCTTCACTATGCACCTCTCTCCACCCCTCTTCACCCTTCTCCATCCCTCTTCACCACTCTCCCAGGGCCTCAAGGTGGACAAGGCCATCAAATCGGGTGACCCCAAGCACCTCATTCTGGACGAGGTGGTCATCAGGGACGCTGCTGCGCTCGTCATGAGTTCCCGGGGGTTCAGGTCGGTGCAGAGGTGTGTAAGTGGGTGCCTGAGTATGGTGTGGATGGGGCATTGATGGGGCAGCAGCAGGCGGACAGCACCTCGTTCTGGACGGGTTGTTCACACGGATGTGGCACTACTGGTCATGAGCTCTTGTGGGCTCAGTCCGGTGCAAAGGTGTGTAAGTGGGTGCCTGAGTATGGCGTGGATGGGGCATTGATGGGGCAGCAGCAGGTGGACATCACCTCATTCTGGACGGGTTGTTCACACGGATGTGGCAGTGCTGCTCATGAGCTCTTGTGGGCTTAGTCTGATGCAGAGGTGTGTAAATGGCATAGGTGTCTGAATAGGGCATTGATGGGGCAGCATGCGGGCAGGATGTCATCTCATTCTCAACGAGGTAGCTGTTAGGGGCGCTACTGTGCTGCTCATGAGCTCTTGTGGGCTCATACCGGTGCAGAGGTGTGTAAATGGCCTGCTGGTTGTTGTAAGTAGGGCGGCGGTTGGGGCAGCACTGGAGAGTACACACACATGAGAAATTAGCAAGTCGAGTGAAAATCGACTCAGTTCTGGCTAAAATCGGCCAATGGATCGGGATGATGGCACCTCCTGTCCTACCAGACGTCACGTTTTTCATGAACTTGCATGGGCTCAGTCCGGTGCAGAGGTATCTGCATGGCGTATATGGCCTCGCAATCTCCCTGCCTCATCCTTCCTCTCCAGTTCTCCCTCCTTGATCCTCCCTCACCTGTCCGCCCTCCTGCATCCTCTCGCCCCCATCGCCCCTCACTCCCCTCTCTCCCCCACCTCAGGGCCTTCCTTGGTTCAGTCAGGTGCTATTACCGCTGGTAATTTCACCTCTGTGCTCCGACCTCTGTGCTTCCCTTTCAACCTTCCTGTCTCCGCCATCCTCCCCTCTCCCCCTTCAGGATCTTCCTTGGATCGTTCAGCACTGCTGCTCTCCACTTCCTTCACCTCTCTTCTTTCCTTTTGCCCCTTCCCATCCGCCCCTCCCTTCCCTCTCTCCTCCCCGCGCGACCTCCCTTGGCTTAGTAAAAAACTACTGCTCTCCGCCCCTTACCCTCTCTCCTGTCCCCCACCCTTGCATTTCACCCATCCTCTCTCCCCCTCCCTCCCTCCCCCTTCCTCCCTCCCCCATCCTCCCTCCCCCATCCTCCCTCCCCCATCCTCCCTCCCCCATCCTCCCTCTCCCTTCCTCCCTCCCCCACCCTCCCTCCCTCCCCCTTCCTCCCTCCCCCATCCTCCCTCCCCCATCCTCCCTCCCCCATCCTCCCTCCCCCATCCTCCCTCCCCCATCCTCCCTCTCCCTTCCTCCCTCCCCCACTTCCCTCCCCCTTCCTCCCTCCCCCATCCTCCCTCCCCCATCCTCCCTCCCCCATCTTCCCTCCCCCATCCTCCCTCCTCCTTCCTCCCTCCCCCATCTTCCCTCCCCCATCCTCCCTCCCCCATCCTCCCTCTCCCATCCTCCTTCCACCTTCCTCCCTCCCCCATCCTCCCTCCCCCATCCTCCCTCCCTCTTCCTCCCTCCCCCATCCTCCCTCCCCCATCCTCCCTCCCGCATCCTCCCTCCCCCATCCTCCCTCCCCCATCCTCCCTCCCCCTTCCTCCCTCCCCCATCCTCCCCTCAGTCCCCCCTCAGGGCCTTCCTTGGCTTGGTCAGTGACTACTGATTTTGGATCCCTTTTCCTCTTTGCTTCCCCTTCACCCTTCTCATACCCCTCATTCTCCCCTCTCCCCCCCCCCTCAGGACCTTCCTTGGCTCTGTCAGCGACTACTGCTCTCGCAATGCAGGTGAGGGATGGGACATGCAACCACAGGTGAGGCGGGCAAACAGAGGTGAGGCGGGCAAACAGAGGGGAGGCGGGAAAACAGAGGTTCCTAAATCCTCACTACTCTCATGATACAGGCGAGGTTACCTGTAGTCGTTGCACTGCTATTCACACCCCTCATTTCTCTACCCTTTACTGTTCTCATCTCACTCCCCTAACCTTGCCTGCCCTCATCTCACTCCTGTGCCAATCTGTTTCCACATCTCATTGCCAGTTGGTCCCATTTCGAGTGTTTATTATCTCTTCCAAGTGGCGACTTTTGAGGCGCCTCATAAGTTGTTTATTCTCTCTTCCAAGTTGTCATCCTCTTGTCAACCTGGAAGCACTCTAGTCAATCCACTACCTCTTGAGTTGAATCAAGACGAGGTGACTTTTGAGTCGACTCAGAAGTAACCAGGTTGCCATTCTTTTGTCAAACTGGAAGCAATCCAGTCAATCCACTCTCTCCCCTGTCCATGTTTGTCATTTTGAGTGTTGATTCTCTCTTCCAGGTTGTCATTCTCTTGTCAAACTGGAAGCAATCCAGCCCATCCACTCCCTCCTCCGTCCATTCGTGTGACTTTTGAGAGTTCTCAAAAGCAATCCAGCCCATCCACTCCCTCCTCTGCTTCTCCTCTACCCACTCTCCCTATCCACAACCCCTATCCCACATTCCCAGCGCAATTTGTATTGAATTCTTGTGAAAATTCTCAAAAGCAACCCCTATCACACAACCCCTATCCCGCAACCCCTATCCCACTACCCCTATCTCACAACCCCTATCCCACATCCTCTGCCCCACCACGTCTCTTGACCATTGAGTTTACTCAAAGTCATTCCTGAATCTTTTGCCCGCCCACATCCCCACCCCACCACGTCTCCTCCCGTTCATTTCTCCCTTGCCTTACCACATTTCCTTGTTGCTTCGACCGTGGCAGAGTGTGTGGTGATTGTTGTGAGAGGCAAATCAGCCCACTGATTCCCCTCCATGGGCACTTATTTAATCTCCACCGGAATTCATGTGTTTGAAAGTAGCACGTAGCCAGACAGATTTGACTTTGTGCACACCTGCCAGACATACTTCAAACAGTGACTCCAATTTCTCCATGCTGCAACTTTTGTGTTGCATTCTTTCGGTTACAATTAAGCATCGCATACCCCTTGGTTGAATTTGCAGTTTCATTCTAAAAATAAGTTGTCAGATCATGTTAGAATTGCAGTGGACAATGAAGTCAACACAATGAAGTCAGCACAATGAAGTCAACACGATCAAGTTAACAAATGTGAGAAGAGCAGAAGCCTTATCAAGCCAATCAAACAAGACATTTTCTTCTACCAGGCACATAGCTGGAGTGGTAGTACATACACGTATGAGAAAAAACATCCTCGAACCTATATGTTTCAAACGAGCGGCCTTCAACCGGTGCTCCATCCCAATCAAGTGTGTCTGGCCGACGTTGGCGACAGTGACGACGACGTACATCAGTAGGTGCCATGCCCTTCTGCATGGCTGTTGTGGTGACCGGCGTGCTGTGTATAGTGTGCACACCGACGACCTTTCCCCTTGTACTCTTTCCCTCCAAGTTCTAGAAGGGCCTTGAATGTGGGTGCCCAAGCGTCGCTGGGCAAGGGAGTGTTGATGGGGCTTGGCCCCGCCCTCGCTTGGGCGAAGCCGACTTCGTGGTCGGGAGCGCAGGAGATGCAGCCAATTGCTCTCTGTAGTCGATGCTAACTTAGGCGAGGAAGTCGACGGGCTTGGTCGACTTCCACGGGACCACTACGAAGCCGCCGACGACGGGAATTCGGCGGCCGACTTCGACTGGAGTGGTCGATGAAGGGGTTCGCCGACCTGCGGGGACACCGACTTTGTAAAGTTGGGGGGTCGTGTCGACCTGGGCAGTCGACGAGCATGTACATCAGATTCCGAGCCCCTACCGCCCAAGTCGGCATTGACTTGGCGGTTTCCAAGTCGACCAAGTAACCTCGGCGACGAGGTTATGCGGGAGTGAGCAAACGTCGCACATGTAGTCATGGTGAAGCCGAGCGACGTTGCAGCAAGTGGTTGACGTGGTGCATCGGGTGCAACCATTGGCATATGGTCGAATTGGCACCTGCGCGATGTGCATGACGGTGCACGTCGTGCTCAACTGTCTACAAGCACCTGCATATGCGCTACTGTCACATGCGTGTTGTAGAGGCTTCTCCTCTAGTTTGCAGGAACTATGAGTTGTACTAATCAGTAGAGCACAGTCTTGGCTTTCCAACGAACCATAGAACACGTGATTTGCTGAAGTATCGAGCAAGATATAGGCTTCAACGTGCTATGAGGTGCTCTTGAAACAAAGGGCCCGTCGCCCGTCGCCCCGCGCTCGTCGCCCCTCGGCCCCGGCCCCGGCCCGTCGCCCGTCGCCCCTAGGCCCGTCGCCCGTCGCCCCTAGGCCCCGGCCCGTCGCCCGTCGCCCCCTAGGCCCCGGCCCATCATCCCTAGCCCCGGCCCGTCGCCCGTCGCCCCTAGGCCTCGGCCCGACGCCCGTCGCCCCTAGGCCCGTCACCCCTAGGCCCCGGCCCGTCGCCCGTCGCCCCGCGCCCGTCGAACCTCGGCCCCGGCCCCGGCCCATCGCCTGTCGCCCCTAGGCCCGTCGCCCGTCGCCCCTAGGCCCCGGCCCGTCGCCCGTCGCCCCCTAGGCCCCGGCCCGTCGCCCGTAGCCCCGCACCCGTCGCCCCTAGGCCCCGGCCCGCCCGTCAACCCCAGGCCCCGCGCGCCGCCATTTGCGGCCCGCCCCTCGCCCCTGCAGCCCGCGAGCCGCCCTTGCAGCCCCGTGCGCCGACCCTGGTGACCCCCTAGCCGCCCCTACTGCCCTGCTAGCCACCCTTGCGGCCCTCTCACAGCCTCTGCAGCCCCGCGTGCCGCCACTTGCGACCCACCCGCCACCCCTAGGCCCTCGAGACGCCTCTCTGCTGCCTGCCCTATTCCCTGCGCCGCTATGGCTTCTCTCGGCGTTCTAGCGTTTGATCATGAGGGCCGCCCGATCCAGTTTGACACGTGGCTTGACGACCTGCAGTTGTACCTACTGAGCAACTCTAGGGACAGCGTTTCGTTATTTGACCATACGTCTGGTGCTGCTCCCGCCCCTCCCGCCATAGCTGACAGTGCGACTCGCTCACAGTGGCTTACTCGTGACGCTGCTGCTCGCTTAGCCATTCGCAACCACCTGCCGTTAGCCGAATGCACTCACTTCGGACAGCACAGGACAGCACAGGCACTGTACGACGCTGTAGTCGCCCGTTACTCCTCGCCTGCCACTGCTGCTCTAGGCTGTCTTCTACTACCCTACCTGTTTCCTGAGCTGTCTGCCTTTGCCACAGTAGAGGACCTGATTTCCCACCTTCGAACTAGCAACGCTCGCTACCGCGCTGCTCACCTAGCTGAGTTCCTTGACAGGAACCAGCCCCCGATGTTCATCACTCTCTACTTTATAGTCACCCACCTCCCTGAATCTCTTCGCTCTGTTAGGGACCACTTTCTCTCACTTGACCCCACAGTCCTCACTGTTGACCTACTCGAGCAGCACCTCCTTGCAGCTGAGACTAGTGTAGTTGCTGTAGGTGCTACTCGTGGCACTCCACGCACGCCCTTCTTTGAGGGGTGTTCCCCCTCCCCCCTTGCCCCCTCCTACGCCTCTGCTGCTGCTGTTGACGTCCTTGGTGCTGAGGGTGACTGTTACCTGTGTGTGCCGCCTGACCCAGGTATAGAGGCTGCTGCTCTAGGTGCTGGTGAGTCAGCTCTCCCTGGTACTGCGCCTGCTGAGGCCTTGCACACCTTTACACTTGACTCAGGTGCTTCATGCTGTTTCTTTCGCGACAACACCACCCTCACTCCTCTCTCTGTGCGTGTTCCGGTCAGACTGGCTGACCCCTCTGGGGGCCCAGTCCTTTCCCGTTCCTCCACTGTTCTCCCGTGTCTGGCGGTTCCGTCTGGCTCACTATCATGCCTTCACCTCCCCTCGTTCTCTACGAACTTGGTGAGTACCGCTGCCCTCCAGGACGCGATGGTCACTACCACCACTCCTGGGGGTCCGCGTGTGTCGATCTGAACGTGTACACGGACGGGCCATCACCTGGCCACGTTCACACGTCGGCCAGGGTCGAGTCTTTACACACTGGCTACTCAGCCTCCTCAGGTACCTGCGTCTGCCCAGGTGTCCGCGTCAGGTCTGGTAGCATCCCCTTGCTCATGTCGCCTCCGCTCGCACCAGACTCTCCTGTGGCACCACTACCTTGGTCACCCCTCCCTGCCACGCCTTCGTGGCATGCACTCCCGCCTCCTTGTCTCTGGTCATCCCAGGTCTCTGCCTCCCCTCCCGCCCTCGCCTGCCCCGCCCTGCCTTCCTTGCGTCGAGGGGTGGCAGCGCGCCGCTCCTCACTCCTCCTCGTTTCCCCTGACCACTGCTCCCCTGCAGACTCTCCACATGGACGTGTGGGGCCCAGCCTGCGTCAGTGGACAGAGCCGCGAGCACTACTTTCTGGTGGTCGTTGACGACTACACGCGGTACACCACGGTCTTCCCCTTGCGCACCAAGGGTTAGGTCTTTGATGTCTTGATCCCTTGGATCCGCACAGTCCGTCTCCAGCTCCGCGAGCGGTTCGGCCAGGACCTTCCTGTCCTGCGTCTGCACTCTGACAGAGGTGGTGAGTTCTCCTCCGACCTCTTGCGGGACTTTTGTCGTGGGGAGGGCATCCTCCAGTCGTTCACGCTTCCGGCCTCCCCGCAGAAAAATGGGGTTGCTGAGCGCCAAATTGGCTTAGTCATGGAGGTCGCTCGTACCTCCATGATCCATGCGGCTGCTCCCCATTTTCTGTGGCCGTTTGCGGTCTGGTACGCTGCGCATCAGATCAACCTCTGGCCCCGTGTCTCCTTACTGGAGACCTCGCCTGCACTGAGTCGGACGGGGAAGGTTGGAGATGCGTCGGTGTTCCGGGTCTGGGGTTCTCGTGCCTTTGTTTGCGATACGT